CTCTGGTCACAGCACAGTCAAGACTGTGTGTCCATGTGAAACCATGTAAATCTGAGGGGATGACACAGTCTGTGGGTCCTCATCTATGTGCTCACAACTGCAAGACACAAGTCAGGCTCAGGGTACAATGAGGGGAAATTGGGGAAAAGGAAAGTTTCTAAGGCCACGGATGGTTGGCTGTCCTACCCCAAAGAGTGCCCACAGCGTCTAGTAGTCCAAACCAAAGCTTGCTTATGCAGGATGGCCCCGTCCTGTCAATCAGAGCCTGGAGGTAGTGCACACCAATAAGTGATGAACCAGGACCCGACTCATGGTGGCAGCTGGTGGTAGTCACAGTGCAACAGGGATGCAAGGTCCCTAAAGTCAGAGGGGCCCTAGAGGCTTTCCTGCAGCCTGCTGCCTAAGCAAAGGTGCCCGGAGATTGAGTGGCAGCAGTGATTTCCCATTCCACTATCCAGGTATGTGTAGCCTGCTCTGAAAGCAGCAGAGACCACAAGCTTTTCACTATTTGCCACTCCCAGTGCAAGCAGCCACATTGTTTTAATAGGAGGTGCTGAGGCAGAAATCTGAAGGCTGGACTGGACAGTGTCAGATGCAACTGCACCAAGAGGTTGTGTCAGGAATTCTGGAGGAAGGGGCGGCAGTGAGCAGTGGTGCTGGAAGATCAGAAGCTGCTGATTAGAGGTGGTGGTGCACATGCCTGCAGTGCCAGTCAGCAGGCGGGGATGTGGAAGATCAGGCATCGGTGTTACACTCTTTAAAGATGCCAAACATAGGCCAACGTGAGACAGCTCTTTTCACAAGTGGTGTTAGAGGACCAGGCACCAATTTACAGCTTTTCCAGGGATGTTACACATAGGCCAGGGACACCAGTCAATAGGCAATGTGGGAGCAGAGTTAGAGGCGGAAGCAAATGTCAAGCAGTGTTTCCAAGGAGAGATCAGATGCAAAGGTCTGCAATGAATGAAGGTTTCGATGAATGAAGGTCTCAGTAAATGGGTGTCCAAATGGAGTCTCCCAATCAACGCATGAAACCAGCTTCTGTCCCAGCTTATACTTCCTTCAGTGTTACCCCCCTTTCATACTGGATTGGTGCATCTTCAAAACTGACACCATTTCAACATTTGATTGGCTCCTGCATGAGATAAAATCTGACTGCTCCTTTTACAATGTCACATCTTCTTTAAAACAGAACCCCTACCAGCATGTGAAACCCTATCTACCCTGAGGTTGTGTGGTCTTGTGCCAACAGTGGGCTCTGCAGAAGAGCCAGGCAGGCAGGCTGTGCTGCCTTTAAATGGCACTGGACAGGTTCAAACCTGACTGGCATGTACCCAAAACCACTCTGGTGCAAGGAGCCCCTTCTGCAATGGAGCTGGTCATGCCCCATTGCACCTGGCTGCTGTGCTGGGGGAGCTGGAAGTTAGGGAGGGGTCTTCCTACACATGCTGCAGATGTAACACCTGCTATAGAGTTTGCATGCTGATTTTCAGCAAGGCCTTTCCAGGACTAGACACCTAACTACAGGAGGTGACACTGATAGTGTTTTTTTTTTTTTAATTTAAATAATAAGTTTTATTTTTATATTCCCCCCATACAATTGCAAACGCCCCATTCTGACCCCAATCCCTCCCCTCCCGCCCCCCACCCCCCAAAAAGTGTCTCTGGTTCATAGTTTTTTGTGGATTTTGATTTTCACTTTCTTATATTCATTTTCCTGGTCCCTTATTTAAGTTTTCTAGATTCCTGCTATGAGTGAGACCCCCGGTATTTTTCTTTTTCTTTTTGGCTTATTTCGCTGAGCATGATCCCTTCCAGTGCCATCCATGTTGCTGCAAATTGCATGTGTTTATCTTTTTGAATGCTGAGTAATATTCCATGGTGTATATGTACCACATCTTTCTGAGAATTCAGGTGTCTCCAGACTGGGCTACCTGATTGGATCTGATATGACCATTGGTGTCGTCTATCCAATGTGCCCCCAGATCCTTTTTGTCTTGTCCTTGTTCAGTTTTGGTAATATTGTAATGTTGGCTTCATAGAACGTGTTTGGAATTGTCCCTTCCTTCTCATTTTTTTGGAAGAGTTTGTGAAGGATAGGCACTAATTCGTCTCTGAATGTTTGGTAGAATTCATTTGTAAATCCATCAGGTCCTGGGCTTTTGTTTTTGGGGAGGTTTTTGATTATCATTTCAAATTTGCTGCTTGTAATTGGTCTGTTTAGGTGTTCTACTTCTTTATCTAGCTTTGTGTGATTGTAGAGTTGGAGGAATTTGTCCATCTCCTCTAGATTTTTGAACTTATTTCCATATAACTGTTCATAGTAGTTACTGATTATTCTTTTGATTTCTGCTGTGTCCGTTGTGATTTCTCCTCTTTCATTTATGATACTGCTTATTTGTGCTTTCTCCCTTTTTCCTTTGTGAGCCTGGCTAGGGGTTTGTCTATTTTATTGATATTTTCGAAGAACCAGCTCTTGGTTTCATTGATCTTTGGATTGTTTTATTAGTTTCAATTTCATTTATTTCTGCTTTGTTTTTTATTATTTCATTTCTTCTACTGGTTTTGGGTTTTTTTTTTTTTGGTGTTCTTTTTCTAGATCTTTGACCTTCAAAATTAGGTTGTTTCTTTGTGTTCTTTCTTGGTTCTTGATGTGAGCCTCTATTGCTATATATTCTCCTCTTATCACTGCTTTTGCTGCATCCCATACATTTAGGAAATTGGTGTCCTCATTGTCATTCAATTCAAAGAATTTTTTAAAGATTATTTTATTTATTCATTTATTTATTTATTTATACAAGCACTGGGTACAGTCAGAAGTGTGGAGCGTGAGAGAATTCACCAGAGCCAGAGCGGGTAGCAGAGCAGGTAGAAGGACAGAAGTACACTGTTGAGAGGAGCAGCAGGCGGCAGGAGAGGTCTGTGCACCATGTGGGACCCTCCTCCACTGGCCGGGGAGCAGCCGTGGATCGAACCAGCGCTGCAGAGCCACGGGCAGCTTCACAACCCAGCGCTCAACCGCTGTGCCACTGGGGAGGCCCAATTCAAAGAATTTTTTAATTTCGTCTTTTATCTCCTCATTAGTCCAGTGGTCTTCCAGTAGTGTGGTTTTCAATCTCCAAGAGACAGGAGAGTTCCTTGCCTTCTTTTTATGATTTATTTCTAGTTTGATGCCTTCAGGGTCAGAAAAGATGGTTGGTATGATTTCGATCTTGGTGTTGGTGTATCTGTTGATGTTTGTCTTGTGTCCCAGTATGTGATCGATCCTGGAGAATGATCCATGTGCGCTTGAGGAAAATGTGTACACTGTTATTTTTGGGTTTAGTGTTCTATAGATGTCTGTTAAGCCAAAGCGCTCTAGGTCCTTATTTAGAGCTTTAGTGTCTTTACTTATTTTTTGTCTCGTTGATCTATCCATTCTTGTTAGTGGTGTGTTGAAGTCTCCCATTACGTATGTGTTTTCTCTGATGTCTGTTTTCAGAGATGACAATAGTTGTCATCCTTTGTTTGGTGAGTATATGTTAATGAGTGTTATTTCTTGTTGAAGTATTGTCCCCTTGATCATAATGTAGTGACCATTGGGTCTCTTTTTACCTTTTTGAGTTTGAAATCTGTTTTATCTGATATAAGGGGAGCATCTGGTGAGATAGGAGAATCTGCTGAGCCCTAGGAGAGTCAGCTCCCTGAGCTGGGCTAGATTCAGGCCTCAAGGTGTCAGCGCTGAGGCTTCACCCCTAGGACACCAGGGAGGCCCAAAAAACCAAATTTGTGTTATACCTACCATGTGTACTACCTCTGTTGTATACTTGGTAAGATCCAAGGTCACCATTTATTTGGTTCCTTCTCTGTAAAATGCCCAGATAGAATTCAGAACAGAGGCAGCAGACATGTGAGGGAATCAGGGCCTGAGGGGCCTCGGCTGTGAGTAGTTTGGCTTAAGGGTTTACACTGGGTTGTAGATCTTCTGCAAGGCCATAGCGAGAAGGAGGCCAGCAACTATAACAGAACTGGATGCTAAAGGAGTGAAAAAATTGGGTGATACAAAACAAACTTTATTAGTTCTATAATTCTATAATGAAGAAGAAACCCTGGAGGAAATAAAATGAAACAACTTGAAATCATTAGGAAACAAGAGTTTGAACTACAAGAGGAGGGCCATGTGTCTGTGGGTGGAGGGGTAGTAGAATTAGAGGTGGATAAGGTTTGGGGTCAGCGTGCTTAGTCTGCACAAGAGATGGAAGGCAGGATAGGGGGTCAGGGGATGGGACCCTGGAGGAATGGTATCAGGTGAGCACCCTCTGCATATGTTGTTCCAGAGGAACAGGAGAGCCCAGCAGGCCTGCTGGTTCAGACAGAAAATGCCCAGGATGCTGTAGGTGTTCCTGGCACTCTGAGCTCACTAATCCCCTGCAGAGTCAGCTTCAAACTCCCCAGATTCCAGCAGGATATCCCCAGGCTGCTGAGCCCTGCTAGGGAAACCAGGCCAGGACCTGCAACCTGTGGTGACAACCCCTGCTGGGCACAAGCACACACCACCTGTTTGCAGGGAGCCAGGCTTTGCCAGGCTCAAGCAGGGCATCCTGGCAGTGTTGTGT